GCCAAAGTTAAAGAGCTTAGAAGGTAAAAAATGTGTATTGGAGAAGTAAAAGGATGTGAGCAAGGAAAGGAAAATGCAGGTTGAATATTGTGAAAAAAATCCAAGTAGAATGCCTAGTAAGCTGAGTTTCCTGAGATAAATGAGAAAAAAAACCCCACATTACATAGACATTTAACACCAGACTGGACAAAATCCTGGAAAATACACCATTGGGAACAATTCTGTCCTGTCTGTAGGGCATATGACCTCATCCGCACTGGAAAATACTGAAACATTTTGATGCCTAAATGAAGTTCCCAGTGATATTCAAATATCTCATGGATCTCAGGATGCAAAACAAAACAAATCTTCTAGTGCAGAAACAGAATTGCTAACTCCAACCCAGATTCTGCTCTAATCAACACAAATGCAGAGGATCTGAAGTGAAGTAACTCTGAATTTACTTTGACTCTACACCAGCAAAATAGATTATTTGCTCCCCTGCGTCATGTTTCCTGAAGTTTCATTAGGTTATGCAAGCAAAACCTTTTGAAATGAAAAGCATCACAGAAGTGCTGAGCATCATTGTTCCTTTCTAACAAAAGAGGGGAAAAAAATCAGGAAGTTTGAGCTTCACTCTACAGATAAATAAAACAGCACCCCAGGATGTCTTTAGATCAAAAATTCTGTTCTTAATGCAAAATTCTGCTTAAACCCAACACAGCTGCAGCAATATTTAAAACATCACTTTTATATTCAACATCAATAGGAAAACAAAGACAAGTAAAGAGATTCTTCCCAATATTGAGCAGCATCTTTTATTTTTTCTAATACATCAGCAATTCCATTTTAAATGTGCTTCCAAAGTACCTAAAATCTAACTTGTAGAATTTGCTCCAGACTCACACTCTGCATGTTTTTTGTTGGGTTGGGTTTTTTTTTCCCCTGTATTTAGCCAAAATTTATATTAGGAGTAAACAGAATTAAAAAAAACCAAAACAACAAAATGAATGTGTATTTTGAAGCACAATTCAGTATAAATAAGCTAATTCACTGGGGTAGCGCTTCAAGAAGAAACTCAGCCTTGGAACCACACCCGTCTTAGGCTAACATCACAATCAAATAAACTTACCTCTAGGATAGAAATACTGATGTCATTTGTAGTAAGCGTCACTGACTTCAAAAGACACACAGAAATTTGCAGCCCGTAAGGGCACTCCTGCTTTTTCAGCAAGATTTTGAAATGCCAAGAGTCAAGATATCTGAAGTGGTTGGGGATAGAAAGAAAAACAAAACAAAACAAAAAACAAAGACAGCTATGTATGAAGGCTACTCTCCACATCATTTGTCTTCTTCAAGTTGCATCTTCACTATTCCAACAGCATTACAGCTCCCAGCTTGCTCTGTGCCGTTCACGCCCTTGCTGGCAGGGATGGCCTCGTCAGAGCTACTGATTTTGCACTTTATGACCAGTAATGTTTATTACTGATTCTTCCTTGCTAACCTGCTTCATTAAAACGGTTGGTGTTAGCTTAAATAGCAAATCTTTGCTAACTCAGGTCTCCTTCAGCGGGACTCCTTAGGGAACGATCGCACAAAAAGCCGTGCTGTTGGATCTGTTGGGGCAAGGTGAAGGCCACCATGGGAAACAGGATCCTCTCTTAAGAACATACAGAATCTAAGTCTGCACCTTTTCTTTACCTATTTCAGATAAGTACCTGCTAACTTTGATTCTCCTCCAGCCAGACTTGGTGGCCCATGCATAGAGGAAAGATTCAAGCTACATCTGATTAAGAGAGGAGGAATCTAAGAAATGTCATTTATAACCTGAGAGCAACAGAGGACATATATTGCATTGGTTCGACTTCAGTCTTGAATTTGTCGTATATTTTAACTCCTGTCTGAATACAGCAGAGAGAGCTGGCTAATCTTAAATAAAACATATGCTACAAAATCTGTTAAGATAACATCACTGTCTAAATTCCCTTGTTCTGATTATCTTCCCAAACAATAACACTTCCCTGTCTTACTCATGCAGAATCCAAACCTAAATCCAAGAATTTGACTCTGTGCTGTACCCACTGTATGCAAAGGTACCTTGTAGTGCTGGGAAGCAGGGCCTGAATACAGGCAGTAGCAGTCACAGGATGCAGTTTAGCAAGGCACAGTCAAGCCAAAAAAGGGAGGAAGCTGCAAAACTATACACTGCACTTAATCTTTTGGTGGATGCCTGTAGAAACCTGGAGAGAGAACTGGTGTGAAACATAGCAGCTATGAAGCAGCTTCTATACAGGTTGTTCCAGTAAAGAAACCACAACATAGCACAGCTTAAATTGATTAAGAGCAGCCTAACCATTGGATCTTAAAAAAAAATAAAAATATAATGATCCTCAAGAAAACATAATTTTGCAATGATATATTCTTGGTGCTACATTTTTAATATTTGCATTAATGATCTGGAAGAAAAGCAGTCAGGGTAATTCACCACTGGAACAACTTATGAAGATCCTGCTTTTCTCGAAATTAATTAAATGCAGACTAGAAGTTTTTTTTTCTCAGAGATATACTCTTGTTCAAACCAAAATCATATGAAGGCTGTCCTATGACCCGTGCTACAGCAGACCTCAGACTAAATAGTCACAGTGTTCTCTGCTGACCTTATTATTGCTGAATCTATGAGATGACATGCAATCACTCAGCAGCAACATTTAACAGTGCCGTGTTCCTTGTTTGCTCTTCTTCTGTTACCTCCTGGTGAGGCATCTGTTCCTTTCATATGCCCCTCTTGCAGTGTCTTTATATGTGCATGTATACACTGAATTACTACCTAGCCTGCAGCTTGTCTTTGTCTAGGATGAGGATTGCCCTGTCACATGTCTACACGAGCACACAGCAAAGTCACTGAAGCTTTGAATCTGACAAGAGGAATGAGAGTGGAAGATGTGGCAAAACAGCCCCGATTAGCTAACTTGCAGGTGAAGAAGAGGGTTTGGTCTTGGACAGAAGCAGATGCTCCTCCCTAGCCTCTCCCCAAAAGTTAGTCTGTCAAAAAGTATTTTTAGGCTAAAGAGAAGGAAAGAACTAAAAGGCCATTTTTGCATGTTTTTATGCCTGGGTTTTTTTCAGGTATAAATTTCAGGAGGAGTTGGGAAGAATATGTATAGATGGGGAAAATGAATGACATAGGCTTGGGAGAACTGCAAAAGAGCCTGGGGTAACCGTTTCCTCCCTCAGTGTCTCTTGACCATCTCTGATCTTCCCTGTCCCCAGAAAGGCTCTTCTCAGTCACATTTTCTCCCTACAGGCAGAAAATGATCCTGACCTTAGTCTCCCAGGCAGAAAGCAGAGAGTCTCACTTCATCTGTCAGACAAAATAATGGTTACTGGTCGCTGCCTGCAGTTCTTTTCCTACAGCTCAACACAAACCTTTTCCAGGAGTTTCTAGTCCCTGTAGTCAACTGGAACTACCCTCGCTAAAACCCCTAATGACTTTTTCTTAACCAGTCTCAGAAACGAGACTGTCTTCGTTCTCCTTGACCCACAGGTTGTCTTTGACTGCCAGACATGTTTCTTGAAACATGACTTAGGTTCAGTGACTCCATCTCTCCCAAGAGCCTCCTCTTACTTCTTTAACTGTTTCTCCAAGCATTTCCTTCAAGGGAGAGCTTCTCTCTACACGGTCCCACAGTGCTATGACTTAGTGCTCTTCCCTTCTCTGCCCCCTACATTTTAGACCTTGATTGTCTCACCTACAAAGTCAGATTCAGCCATTAATATGCTAACAACTTGCAGATCTCCATTGGACCTGTCTTTTTTAAATCTCCAGCCCAAAATCTCAAATGGTTTCTCTAATATTTCATCACAGGCAACACAGAGACAACACCCCACACTCAATGTTCTCCTCGTCTTGATGGAGCGCTCCTTATTCTTCTGCCCTCTGCACCCAGCAATCACTTGTCCTGAACACCCTGTGGGTGATGGAAACTATTATGGCCACTATTGGCATAGTACCCTTGGAGAAAGATTCTGCTGCGATTTCATGTGATTTCTGATACCTTTCACTAGAAGGCCACTTTTTTTTTTCTGAGACAAAATCAGAAGTTGTTAGGATCTGTGTGTCCTTTTTCTCAAATAACCAAACCCGCCTTTCATCACCCTTTACTTCAAGAGCTCTCCATAACCAGCAGTTCAAGGCCCATAGTTTCAGGAATTTCAGCACTCCCATGAAACACAAGGGAAACAAGATAGAGAAATGAGGAGAGGAAGGGAAGGCGCTGCTGAAAACTATTACTGAAGGGAGTAGCAAAAGTTGTGCTTTACTTGAGCACATTCAATGAGTGATCAGTACTAAAGATGACATTACAAACCACATGGCTACCCCATAATCATGGATAGGGCTCACTTCTCACATGGCACTCAGAATCAGGGCCAAAGTGTCAGGTTCAGAGAGGTGTCTAAGTCAGCAGGTTGTTTCATGCTCTGTTTCCTTGGATTCATACCCGTCCGAGCTTACGCAGCCAAAAGGAGTTCTGAGCTAGTGCAGATTTCATCTATAATTCCTGCACGCTGACCATTTTAATGAAAAGCTTCACCTTGCCAGCATAACGCTCTTTAAATTGACCATCTCTGCAATACTTGTGTCTTTTGATCCACTGCCTCTCATAAAACTGGCTAACCTTTAAGTTCATTATGTTCTTAAAATTATTGCTATGTTCTTAAAATCATTGCTCTGCATTCAGAGAGTGAAACTATTCACCAAATTAGTGTGTCGTATCTGAGCTACCTACCTGCAAATTTCTACTCTCCCCGTTTAAGTGGAATTGACTTGCCACGGCACAATGAAAGGAAGATCAATAATTACAGGCTCCAATTTGCCATAGATTTGTTAAACTACACTTCCTGCTGTCATGTCCTCAATAGTTATGGTCAAACATACATCCTTGCAATCTGTTCTAGCGCCATTATATATGCCTCGGTCTTCCAAACATTCAAAGGAAACCCACTGGAAACACTGCATTTACTGTTATCAGTGAAGACTGTATCCATCTATATAACTGTGCCCTCAAGAGGTTACAGACAGCATAACTTTCACCTCAATTGTCAGTTCTTTGAAACAATCCAACAGAAATATCTGTGAAGCATGTTCTGAGACACCCGAGCAGCAGTTTGCCGGCCGTGGACTGCAGACCACTGACAGCCACTGCAAAAATGGCCGGCCTTGGAGTGTTGGCCACTTCTTGTCACCTACCACCAAATTGCCTTAGAAAAAGCTAAAAATACCATTGTTTTTCATGTAAGCAGTTGTGGTAATGGCTACAGAGCTGCCACGTGATCATGCATGGGAAAGGAAGCAGTTCCCATAATTGCAAAGGGTCTATGATGCAATCTTCCTCCTAGGAACAGAAACTTGGCATGTATCATCCCAGAGTCATCTTAAAATACATGTATGCTCTGTAGCCAGGATCATCTGAAATAGCAAATATAGACTAAGTACGTAAGAGCAACCAGTATCTAAAGAGCCCTTCTGACTCTGCATGGATCTGCAGTTTCTTGCAGGTTCTGCCATTCAATTTTTATGAGAAGAGCAGATTTATGGTATAAGCACTCATGAATAATTTGCTTCCCTAAGTTGCCACATACAACTTGGGGAAATCCCAGCTGTAAAACCTTGGCACCGTTCAGCTAGTGCAAGCTGCACTACTTTTATACAGGTGTTATTCCACTGACCTACTTGGAGTTACTCCTCCTTCGCACTGCTAAGAAGAAGAGGAGCAGGCAGTTTGCTTACCACCTCTGGTAAGCAAACCTCTCTGACATCTCTTCACAGCAGTAAAAATGCTTCCATTGTTGAAGTTAGTTTTAGCAACGTTGGTGCTTTGGCTCACCACGGCTTCAGGGGCTTGTACATCTCACCCACTCTTGGGCTTCCCATAATACTCCGTTGTCACTTGGCTTAGTTCCTCATCAAGTCTGTGTTTTTAAATCATGTTGAGAAAATGACTTGGATCCTAGACTAATGGAACACCACTAAAGCCATAAACTAGCTACACTGAGCTGATTTCTTTATGCTGATTTCTAACTTCAGGAGAAATACAGTTTATTCCAACGCTCATCCTTCGCCACCGGAGCAGGAGCCACAGCAAGGTATTGGTGCAGGTGACAGACAAAAAGAAACAGCAAGTGAAACTGCCTAGCCATCTCCTTGCCCTAACACGGGAGGATGAATTAATAGCATCACTCAGTGGGTTGCTTATTTCCTCAGGCTTTTTCTTCATATAAAGATAGGAGGGTGTTATTTTCCCCAATCGAAAAAAATATTTGCGAGTGTTTTATTTGGTACAATCTCCAAGTGGAGGCCAATTAAAATGACAATCACTGTACTGCCACTGAGCACACATCGTGGTATATAACTAAACCTGCAACTGTAGTACAGGGAACAAAGAGCTGGCATTCCCAGTTAGTAAATTAAGTGAACAGCTCATGGCTATCTTGACATAAAACAACCTAATAATTATAGTGCCTAAGTTAGACATCTGAATAAATGTAGTCATGTCATTTAAACAATGAAGCTATTCTGATTTATAGCAGCTGAGGATCTGATTAAGGATGTAAAGATCTGATCTTTACCCTTATATGTCCCTTCAGTTCATCCAAATTACTGGCTTTCACCACCTGGTCTCTCCCTCATGCCCCCACAGTTGGGTTTTAAGCAGGTTAAGAAATGACGGGTTCTCACTTTGTTCACTGCTTACACACTTCCAGCATTGCTGAGTGAAATGAGAGACAACCATAAAAACCAGTAGAGGGGAAAATTAGACATGCTGTGTAACTAATTTCTGAACTGTAAGCAAAGTCATTGGCAATTTTCGCTTCATATCACAAGTTCACATTTCTTTGAATTGTCACCTTCCGAGGACAAGCACTACCTGCTCATACCCTTCCAGGTGGGACGGGATGCTGCCTGCTCAGGGGTGGCCATGGTGTGGTCTGGAAGGACCTCTCACCTCCTCGCACAGGAGCCACCATCTGACCCCGGAGAAGGGCGCACGCCTTCAGCCCACACCAGTGTCATGGGGGCACGGGGTTTGTCCCACATCTCCCGTCCGGCTGCCCGCTGCTGGAGCTGCTGCCGCGTTTGCTGGAGTGGCTGTGAGCAGACACAGAAAAAACGCGCAGGCAGGGGAGCACAGCCGTGAGAAAGGGGCCAAATGCAAATTAAAACCAGACGAGACGAGCCAGCAGTTGGAAGGAGGGGGGTGGTTTAAGCACAAGCCTGAGATGGCTCTAAGTGAAAATAGCCAGACTGAGCGGGCTTGCAGAGCGTCACCAAACCAAAAATCCCCTCCACCCCCTGGCTGCCCAGCTGGAATTGTATAATGGAGCAGGCTTCAAGAAGCTGCAGCTCCCAGCAGAGTTAACTCTCCAGCAGCTGCTGCACTTTCAAATTGTCAGATTAAACACTGGAATGCCTGTAGGTCGCAAAGCTGAGGGAAGGGTGAAGAGACGGGGTTGGTTTGCTCCAAAGTGCAGAAACTACTCAAAAAGTTAAAGGCAGGGCTCCCCGTGGCTGGGTGGGAGCTACCCCAGCATCGCCTGGCTGGAGGCTTGGCACAGGGCCCTTCCATTGCCTCAGCTGTCCGCCCTGAGCTGGATGGCAGCAGAGTTTTTGACTTGTGCTTCCTTAGGGCTGCAGACTCGGGATGTATCCGGACTGCCCTTGCAGGGCGAGTTTCCGTTTGGAGGGGAGAGAGGTGGGGGTCCCACTGCAGCCTGCTCCTCCACGGCAGGAGCCTTCTCCTCCACTGGCTGGGACTGGACACTGCAGGGCACCCAAAACGCTGGCACTTGCTCTGCCCCAGCACCAAAAGCTCAGAGACACACGTCCCCTCACTGGGGCGAGTGCACACAGGCAGTGGAGTGCTTGCACCAGGCGAAAGTGAGTGCCACTGAGCCGCATGTCACTGATGACAAGAGAGTGATGATTTACTGGGAAAACTGCCCTATAAAAAACACACTTGAGGATCCTGTTTATTGTCTCATACCCTTCAAATACTCCACAGTTACAAATACTCCATCCAATTACAAGCTAAAAAAAGGAGGGGAGGTAATTCTTCCACACAATGTCTAGCCCATGAACTCAACAAACCCATCAGCAGGCAGCATGGGTCAGACAGCCCGGCGGGGCTCCTCCTTGGAGATCACCTCCACCAAGGATAAACAATCCCCACTTCAAACCTGGGCCACGGACTTGTTGCCAGATCCACACAGCTGCAGAGAGCAGAGGTGGAGGAAGCTGTGCCAGTGATGAGGGTAGGAAGAAGAAGAGAGGCTGTTCCCACATAACACAGCCTCTCCTCTGCAAAACTGCAACGCTCCGTGGGGCTCTGCAGCCCACATGCTTCTCCAGGCACCTCCATCCCGGCTGAGTTCTGCTGGAAACTACAGCCCACAAAACCGCTGCGAAGGCGCTGGCCCACAGAAGTCACTTGCCATGCAACTCTCACAGGCTGCAGAACGGCCGGGCAGGGACTAAGCACAACAGAGTGGCCACGGGTACCTGCGCCTTTGGGCCACATTCCAGCGTCCAGACAACCAGCCCAACCATCGAGGAAGCTAGCAGAAAGTTTCACTCACCCCCTCCTCTTCCCAAAGCACCAGGGGAGTCTCCACATCTGTAAACCTACAGCCTGGATGTTCCCGTCCCCTCCCCACACGAGCACTTACCCCCCAGGAACTGGATGCCTCCTGCCACCCTGCCCACGGTCCTGGAGATGAGCTCGGACACACAGCAGCCCATGAGCGCCGTCAGGGCCACCAAGAGGAGCAGCCCGCAGCCCAGGCCTGTCACCACCGTGCAGATCCTCCACTCGGCGCTCGGGATGGCCTGGAAGGAGGCGTAGCGGCCACACTGCTCCACCATCACGGTCGTCTGGCGGCTCTCATCCCGCACCGGGTAGGAACACCTCCGGAAAGTGCCGAAGGAAACCGACTTCTCCAGCTGAGACCCCAAGAGCCAGTATGGCATGAAGAAGCCCACGCAGGAGGCGGCGGCGCAGAGGAAGGAGAGGAAGGCCCAGATGATGCCGGTGCAGGTGAGGCTGGAGGCCATCCTTGTTATCTGCTCCAAGACCCCTCGCGATGGGGAGACAGAAAAGCAGCTGTGTATTTTAGAGGAAGTTTATGGATAATCCAGAGTCTCTCAGCCTTGACAAATCCTCGCACTGGGAGAAGCTTGGATCCTAACAGCCAGGTAGATGTTTCCTCCCATCATGAAGACAAAGGTCCCTAATTAAATAATAACACACAAAAAAAAAAGGAGAAAAAGACAAGTTCAGTAATACTGATGTTGGAAAAAAATATTTGTATGCCAGAGTGTTTTTCCTTCCTACAGGACTTTCCATTAGACATCTCACTTTTCTGTCCCATCCTTGCAAGCAGCCGCTAGAATCGCTGCCAGCGATCCTGGCTGCCAGGGATGGTGGGATGGTGGTGGGAGGCAGCCCGGCGAGCGCAGGCTGCTGTGCACATCCAGGAATGCTCTGCAGCCACCTTCAGGGGTTCCCCGTGTACTTGCCTACTCACTTTTCTCCTCCATACGTCTTGATCTTTCCCGTACCAATAGAGAAAAAAGGCGAGATCTCGTTTATCCTTAGCTAGTCAGGCCTTCCTCCTGTGACACCTGGGGAATGTACTTCATATTATAGACGGCCCCTCAGCTTCAGTGCAAAACCATTCCCAGTGCCTAAGACTTTACAAGATCAGACCCCCATGGCAGAGGTAAACCTCATTACACACCCCAGAGAGAATTGTTACGAGGTGACATTTTTTCCAGCAGTCCCTTAAGCTGTTGGCATCCCCGTGCAAAAGGAGCCTTTTATTGCTTGATGTCCAGAAGTGCCAGGAACCTCAATTCCAGGTGGGCTCCTGGCAGGTGAAGACATTGCCACATCTTTTGGATTCACCTCCAAGCAACCTCAAGCAGCACATGATTAAAACACAGGGGTCTCCCTTAATATTCCTGCTTGCACTCAGCCCAGCTCCTTCTCTTCTTTGCCTCTTCCCAGCTCAAACCCAGGAGTCTTTAACCCCTCTGCATCCTTCTCGGACAAATCCCAGCCTCTAAGCTCAGTACCCGTGCGACCAAGTGCTTTTCACTGTCATAGAAACCTACACGCTGCTTCCCAGAGGTTGGGGTGTATTTCTTATTAAATCCACGCTGGATCATTACTCCAACAGCATTTTAAAATTTATGATCATTTCTCACGGTTGCTGCCAAATTAATTTTGATAGCTATTTACAGGGGCTTTTTTTTTTTTTTTAAAGCATGATTAGACCCTGATCAGTGAATTCAATTCATGTACAGGCAATAAAATTAATATTACTTCAGTACAAGTAGAGAATGTAGAGAAAGAGTCTGTAAGTGAAATTAAGCATGTGCACCACACAAAAGTTTTGTTTACTTTTAAAACACTAAGAAAAAGAAGTCTCTTCTATAATGTTAAAAAAGGCCTGTGCTGCTACTTAAGAAGTATACATCTATCTACTCGTAGCCTATCCACAGAAAGGCTTTTCAACCTGCAAAAGATGAAACCCCTGGGGACAAAAACTTGGGAGAGGGGCATAGTGTGCCTCCATCCCTGCAGAGGCATCTTCTGGAGAAGAATCTGCCTGTGTCATGGCGTGGCACCAAACGTCTAAGGCAAAGTGGGTCACGGCCCTTCGGAAGATCATTCCCTAAATTGGGGGAGGAGGTACGGCTGGAAATAGGGGACAACATGGAGGCTTCCAGGGGCAGGACCCTTCAAACCCGTCCGCTCCGGC